GTAAGCATTCTAATATAGGCACTATTGACAGATAGTCTGATGCTGTTTCTCGAGGTTCATTACATGCTTTTTGCAAAGACCTAAAACCTTTTATAAATTCTTTAAGGAATCTTTATGGTTTTGAATATCTTAAGAAAAGGCAAAAGACATTTTCGGCACCAATTTCTGCCAAAGAAAATGAAGAGTAGGGTACTTTCTTTGGCATAAATGATACAGCAAATGTTTGTTAACATGTAACTGTCTTTGTAGAGGAAAACAATTATATTCTCCCTAAAAACGAGAAGTTCTCGTCGCCATTTTGTTTTTGCATAGGCTCGTTTTCACTTACGCCACATTTTATTCGACAAACCGTTTAGGCATCATTTTTTTCATATATCAAATATTATTTGTCACATAAAAGCTGGCACACCAGCTTTTTAACAATGTATTTGTCAAATAAAAATAGTTAAATTTTTATCGTTTACACGAGCAAATAATTTGTTATATAAAAACTGTCACATGAAAATTGTTCGTTTAAAAAGAAACTTAACGGGATGGGATGATAAAATAGTGCATCTTTTGAAGTATGAAATGTTTATAAATTTTTAAATAAATAAGGTCAACACGAAACATAAAATAGCGTGAGCAAAAATTGTAACTAGATACGCCACTGACTATAACATCACAAAATGCTATAAAAGTATTTTCGTCGGCTGTTTAATGAGCTGTTATAGGCATTTTATGATTGCCGTGCATGCGCAGTTGGCACCCATAAAAACCGTATCTGCACTATCGCTGACTTAACGATTTGCCAATCCACCACCTATAAGGATATTCATCAAGTTCGAGAAAAATGACAAACACTGTTGCAAGGACATTTGACTTCTTTACCAATTTTTATTGAGTAACATGAATCTCGAAACACTAAAGATATTTTGTTAGCAAATTAATGTCTATCTGAGCTAATAAAGACAAAACAAACTTAGTTCCTTTGTAAGACAGTAGTTGCCACTTTTATTACTAATAAGGAAAAATTGAAAAATTAATTCGTCATTATGATTAGCTAATTCATTTCTTCACAATAACATACAAGAAACTTCACAATAACATACAAGTCGATACTCGTACAATAAAAAGACTACATCATGGTTTGTTTTTTTTTTTGTGTTGGCAACGTATATCAGAAGCGTATTCATTCATCAAAGATGACGTAATCTACTTTTACAATCGATAATTTTTATCTAAAAATATCTTGTTTCTTTAGACTTACTCCTGCAGTGTTTGCAATGCATTATACAGTTTTTCCTACACAAAATATTAACAAGACATTCAAGCTCTTCATTTTTTTGTAAAATTTTGTTTACAAAATTCTTTATACCATCAGATAAGTCTTACTTACACGCTAGTGAGAGAAGTATGTACTCAGTAAAATACATGCCAATCCCATGTGCTGTAGTACTCTGATCACCTTTATGGCAGAGGTTCTATCATATCCTTATTAAAACTGCTTGCATAAGTTTTGCTACACTGAAGCTTATGCTTTGCCCAAGCCATAGGTTCCTGTAACGACGTTTTTCTTTTTCGAGTTTTAGACAAGTTTGGCATTAAAATTCACATTGCACAGCTACTTCCTAAATTAGAAACAACATAAATATATATAAAAAACATAATTTACGTTAACCTTTATAGCAATGGCGTAATGATCATATAAGTTTACCTTCTCTAATGCAGGCTCATCGCAAGTTGCTTCTTCTATTGGCTCTTAAAGTTCCCTACTTATACTTGGAATATTTTCTGATTGAGCCTCTCATTTATAACCAGATATCCACTTTCTTTTTATCTCAAATTGATTATATTTATGAAATATGTCCTCACACAGATTTCAGGCAAAATGTAGATATGATTTATAATGTGCTCACCATTCTGCGATCTGTTGTTGTAAGTTCATTGTCATCCTTTCGAGGATAAATTGTCGGGTATGCAACGAATCCGAATTCGTCTCTAATCCGTTGAGGTGAAAAATTACTTTCTGATTCAGAAAACGAGCCGAATAGCCGAGAAAACGAATCTTTCATGAAGTGTTCCGAGCAAACTGCAGAATTCTTTGTGGGGACGCACTTATTATAAGTAGCTTTCACAATGTTGACCCATCGCTTTCTTCTGCGCTTAGCTTCACTCCTTTCATCGTTAAAAAATGGTATGCGATGAAGTGAAATGCCTTTTTTCGAACTGGATACGTTAGAACAACCCAAAACTACACGTGTTTAATTACATGGATAAACAGTGTTAGTTGTTTTGGTAGTAAGTCTGTGCTCCTTAAATGACGTCACAAGTAGTCACATGCCACGGATTAGAGCTCTCGACATTTTTACAAAACGTTGAAATTCCTGTTTTAATCGCATCTTTACCGAAAGACAACTCAAAAACAAACGAAAAAAGTTATTCAAATTCTGTGAGCGGCATTTGTATTATTCATCCAATATTTATTTGCGCATAAAAATCTAAAAATAGCTGTATGTGCACTTTAAAGTGATTTCGTGTTCAAGCATATGTTACAAATCATCTCGGTTAAAATATTTCAAGACAAGTCTGGTCAACTTTTCATGTGTTATGATTGCGTGATAAATGGTTTAGCGCTTCTTCCATGTTTGCAGCTTTCTTTGATCTAATCAACCTGCTCCTGTGGTAGGAGGAAACGCAGTAATGCGCTCGGAAGCCGACGGTCAAATTCCGGCAAAAATATCTTCCATGCTTTACATCCAGTGTTTACAACTTATTAACACTTTATGAATTTTTAAGATGAATTCATTGGCATTGTGAATCAAAGCAATTTTTTGAGGTAACAATCATATCTTTAAAAATTTGTCATATATTTGCCTTGTTTTGAGGAGTATGATACTTTGTTTTACTCAACCGATAAATGGAACATTTTTAGAAATATACATACCTAGAAACAGACAGAAATTGACAAAGAAAATATAGCACAACTGTATTTTGTCGCAAATATTTTTTAAATACATCTTGATAGGACCTTATTGACTGTTATTCTATGCCAAATCTGATTAAATGATATTTAATTTTGAACGCGGAGTCATCGCATACAGCGAATTTTATCATTGTATTCTTTGGAGATGCCATGGCTAAACTCGCAGCATGCATTTCAAATCTTTGTTATTATTAAAGTTTTGTTAAATCCATGTCAATTAATATATCATATTTTCTTCACCTGAGTACGCTGATAAGAGCAAATAAACAATGCGAATTAGGGGATGATTACATGAGCCCGGGTAGCCGGTATTCAGCAAAGCGTTAAATGATTTTGGCAAATGGAAACGATTCAATACTTATCTTTAGATAAACCTTATTCAGCAATTTCATAATATTCTTCTGACTTTAGAAATACGCAAGCATTTAAAATGAAAATAAGTAATTTGGTCTGATTTCAGTATTATCATTGGAATAACTTGTGGCTGAACAGTTGCAATTTTTCCGCTAAAAGTTTTTCCTCCTTTCAATGATTCAAATTCCTCTCACGCCTCACTGAATCCAGGTAGCTGGGATCATGTAAACAGCTCCTAAGTATCGAAATGGCTAAACACGGTAAGGGTTAATCAAGTGTCTTGTTATTCGCCAAACGAGATAAAATTAATGTTGGTGAGCATTCAGGCAATTTTAGTATTCATTGTATTGAAATTACGTTGTTTTTAGTACATCTATTTGAATTCCAGACACAAAAATTAAACAGACGTTTCAAAAGGTTCTAGTTATACTTTGCTAGATCGTGCACTCTCCTCAAACCGTAAAATCCCCAAGGACAAAAATCGACTGATTGAAACAAATCGAGATTTCACCTCTATATAGATCGGCCGAAAGGACTGGGTCTAGTCATGTCCGGATTAGTGTGCTGCTAAGGCGTGGAAGCAAAAACATAAAGAGAGTAATATCTGAAAACCATGAGAATACAAAAAGAACAAAACAGAAACTGAAAGAGTACAGAAACTTTAACAAAAATAACAAAACAGTCCACTGACTATAAGAAAGATACACGGGGGAGTGTGAAATTTCAGATTCTTAACCTTCACATGAGGTTTTTGGAACAGGAATCTCAAATCTTCCCTTACCAACTGGTGGCTCAGCATATGGTATGTGCAGATATTTTAGAAATATCTTTAAATTTATTTTAGCATTTTCTGTTTTTCTTCGGATTTCGACGTCTTTTGTCTCAACAACTACTGCATGAGTAAAAGATATGACAAAAAACAAAAATTTAATTAAAAATCAATAATTTTATGAAACTCTACACTCAATTAATTTAAATGTGTTATAAAAACTGTACATATACTCATTTATCAGTGGCCATATTAAGATTTAATAATTATTTTACTGTACAGCAAGACGCCTACTATTGGCTCACTCGGGCTACACACCCCACACTACAGCAGTGTTTTCACATTTGCGTAGTATATTATAAACATTAGAGTATTATAGACACCATGCAAATATCTACTATATGTTGACATTCACCTGGTAATCAGAGGTAAGAGGTAAAATTTTGGGAATTTGGAAAATTGTCACAAAGTTGTCAAACAATTGTTTCAAAAAAAATACTAATATAAATACATAAATTTTCAGAAAGAACTGGTGAATTTCGAATGGCGTAAATTAAAGAAGTTCTGCTGCACATATATGTTTGTATTTAACCGTTTTTATACTAAGGACAGTAAGTTAATACGTCTTAATTTTAATAGACGTATTATTCAGCTTAAGCATGAAAACTGCATTTGCCTCCAAAAGATTGTATGCACTTGTAAAAATCTTAAGGTTTTGAGGTCGAAGTATTCTCAATCAAAATGGACGAGCCAAACAAAGCAATTCTCGTAACTTGAAAGGAGGCGCAGGGGTATTTTCTGGAAACAAAACCTATACGTCGCTTACCGTGTTTCAAGTAGTGAAACTTAATTGAAACCGAGTAATTTTTAAAAGAAATGTTTGCACAAAAGGATCAATATGATACAATTGAATTTCAGAATAAAAATAAACTATGCATTTAATAACGTACATAAACATTTTCTCTATTCTAATTGGTCAAGACTTAAGAGCAGTGCAAAAGAGAAACACCAGTGTGAAAAAACAAAATACCAGTGTAATCGTTTTTCGAAGTATGCTGCTGATTAGTCAAAAAAAGTAGTGATCTAAGAGCAATTCAAAATAAAAACATTTCAAAGAAGGGAAGTAAAAGTAGTTTAGCAGATCGATTCTGTAGATGGCAGATGGCACAAACTCGATAAAATATATGTACAGTTAAAAATACGCTGATCTGTATAAAGCGTACATTGGCGTGCTCCAAAAATCACAGTATTTTTCACGAAGTTTTGTTTTAACTATCATCCTATTTAAACTTTGCATCTCCAAATATTCTTCTCCGTTTGGGGAATGAAGAGGCCAGTTTGGAAGGTTAACATTTTCAAATTCTTCTGGTAATTCAGGTTTACCCCTGTTTGGATGACTGTAAAGAAATGAGTATTAAAATTTTTAGCTACAAGACGACCATCATCTTTACTTTTAAAAAAATTCATGTAATGTATGGTTGTCATGGATAATCTCGTGCAGTCTACGTTCTTTCTTAAATTATACTATTACTAAATTTTATACCTAGTGAAGTGAAAACCACTAACCAGCATAAAACTATTATGGAACGTATTGGACACACTTTTTTGCTGGTCATAAGTGGTTGGAACAAAATTAAAGAATACAAAAAACAATATTTTTGGTGTTATTAACAATCATTTCACGATTTTCCAAGAAGCCATATCCAGAAGCAAATTCATTAAATGCAAAATTTTTTTTGTGTAAACATGAATCTTGATTTCCTCTATATTAGCTCAGATGTTCACAAATCAGGCAAATTCATGAACATCTTAGCGAGTACGGAGAAAACGAATCAAGTTCCTCGTAAGGCAGGATTTGTCTTTTAAATTACAAATAAAGAAGCAACTAATAAACCACTTCCTCATTATGATTATCACTTGCACTATCAAATTTTTTAAGCAACTTAAAAGGATTGAACTGTGTCTATCAATTAAGCGAAAAATTTCACCGTAAAACAAACTTCAATACTCGTAAAATAAAAGTCACATCAAGTTTGGTATTCTTGTACGATTTTTATCATGCCCTTGTTGAGAAAGATATAAAAGTGTATAAAATCATATATTGTCATCAATAATGAATTGAACTACCTATATAAACCATACATTTTTCCATGAAAACTTACCCAGTCTTTGCAAAATTAGCGAAGTATGATATCAACCTCAGTGACAATATCTTATCTTCCATTGGAAAGTTTAATTTAAAAGGTAGCCCAAATATAGACTAGAAATAAACAGAAAGATAAAAGATTATTGTCAAACTAAAAATTGAATGAACATCCTGGTGGAGATCAATCAGTCTTTAACATAGGGAAGCTAGAGCTCATTTTGGTTATGCTTAATGAGACCTAAGATTATCACTTAATTTATTCAATAAACTCACCCAATAGTCCTGGCCATGGTTAGCAAAACCATACGTTCCAACTGGATATGCATGTGGTTCTGGAGAAGGGTATGTGTACCGAAAAACAAAAACTTTAGTTGCAGGAAACATTAAGACCCGTTGATGTGCTTCATACTTCATTGGACACGTAAAGGCCCAGTCCGATAGCATATCGACTAAAGGTTTGAGTGATTCGACGAACGATGGTGTGCATTTAGGCGAATAGAGTCTTTTGGCTACGTCAAAATAATGGGGATGTCTAAAAAATGCTTCCCGAATACTACTGTTAAAAATTCTATTTATTCGAGTTATATTCCTCGTTTTTGCAAGAATAGAACTAGTTTGAAAGTACATTTCACTCCCCATTGTACCAAAAATTATTGGACATTGCTTCACTTTTCCCCTTCTGAAAAGCATTTGAGGATGATCTTTAAAAAAATCACCGTCAACTGCTGGTGTAAAAGGGTCGCGTTTTTCGGCAAAGACCTCTTTCAATTGTTCAGTTGTAACATTATTCTTCAAGCATTTAAGTACATTCGATGAGTTATAGCAATTGACCTCTTTCAAAAAATTTTCTGATTCATTTTTCTCCCTTGCCTAAAAAAAGAAAAAAATAACGAAAAAGAGAGAATTTTTAACTTATATGATGAATTAATTTTCAAAGATCCATGATGAAAAAAACACTTTTTAAAAAAACTGGCATTTAGTAAATGTCTAATAATCGGTTAGAAACTTTCAAATATATACCCACTTCGCCACGGACCTAAATATAAGACTTCCCACCACTCCCTACCCCATTACTTTATGTTAATAATCTAATTTAGACACACTTTGTTCTTCTAAATTAGTTGATAAGATAAAAATGGAATATTTAAAGGACTAAGAATATATTCAGTGTAAGCTCTACACAAACTTCTATTTTGTATTGCTGTTCTTTTAAATATATTGCACAGTGTGACATATTTGTTTGAGACTTTATTGCAAAATAGAAGGTTTTCTTCACTTGTAACATCAACACATGTTTGGAGCACGATAATCTTTACATAGCAAATAAAACACCTTTAACGTTTAAATTGTCTTGAAAACAGAATATCAGTATTAAAACGAAAAAACGTGTGCAACAAGTTTTACTTTTATTGTCTTTACAAACCTTAGTAGATAATGTCCAATACATGAGCATGTTTCCACTTGAGTAAATGACACGATCGAAATACGGCCAGCTTTCTTCAGATAAAGTATGAGCAGAAACACAAGCTGAGCCAGCACTGCCTCCAAATAGCGTAATGGCGTTAGGATTGCCACCAAATTCTTTTATGTTTTCTTTTACCCACTTCATTGCCAAACGCTGATCAAACAAAGCAAGGTTACCTTTGGAATGAGAACCGACAAACATGATTTAAATTACTAGTTACTCATTAACATTATTGTCAGTCTTGAAAGAAGAGCTCATTCGTGCTTATAGGATTTTGCTAAACATTTTTTGGCTGATTGCTTTTGAAACATTACAGATTTTTCAACGATGAGTTTTAACTTGTTCACCTTTAATTCCAACTTCTGGGGCTGTCAAAAATCCAAGTGCAGATAAGCGGTAGTTGACATTTACTAATATAACGTCTCCCAATGCAACAAAGTTTGCACCATGATAATTTGCTTCGTGTGATGAACCAGCTAAGAATGCACCACCGTGGATAAAGACCTGTTTAGATTGATTGTGAAAAAAAATACAAACTTTGTTGCATTTTAAAATTGAGAGGCACAGATAAAACATTTTTTTCATTCTGCATGGAATTTTTTTATGTTCAAATAATTATAAAAATAACTGCGTTCATAACTTACTACTACTGCTGCGTTAGTTGGTTTTGGATGAGGTGACCAAACATTAAGTATTAAACAATCTTCTGTCATATTTATTTTTGGCAAGAACACAGGTTGAATACATGAAATATTATTATCAATTGATTCTTTAATCCCTTTAAAGAAATAGAATAGTTAAAAGATTAGAAATGAATACCTGAAATCTATAAGAAATAGAAAGAGAAGAGAAGAATCATAGAGTTCAGAATCTTAAGAAGTGATTTACAAAGAAGGAATTATAATCAAAGGACTATATAAGAACGATAACATGTAAGGCTGTGCGTATAGATGGAGGAGAGGGATCTTAAGATTTAAAAATTTATTACCTCGCCATGGTTTTTTTGGAACTGGTTTCTCAAATCTTAGCTCACCAACTGGTGCTTCAGCATATGGTATGTTAAGATATTTCAGAACTGTCTTTCCGTTTATTGAGGCTTTTTCTGTTGCTCCCCGGATTTTGCCAGCCTTTGTCTCAACAACTAGAGTAAAAGACATAAACAAACTCGTAAAACTAACGATAAACTATCTCGTGAATCTCTATATACGTATAATTCAAATGCGTCATATAACTGTAAAGAAAAAAGTTTTTTGTTTTTTTTTCCAACCTTAAAAATTATGTCACCTATTTATAGTTTGCAATATTCTCTACGTTGCAAGCATTTACAATTATTTGTACGCTGTAAGCAAGTCATAATTGAGTTTGAAGCAACATTGTATGGTAATTTAATAAATTTAATTATTAAGAAAATATTCGAGGATAAAAGAGCTCTCAATATCTTATAGCAAGAGCGTAAGATAAAACAAAATAAGCAAAGTATATCTGGGCATTCCTTTAAATTTCATGCCAAAGGACAGTCTTCAGGCAAGTGCAGGTTATTCAGGATTGACATTCGAAAGTGAGGTCTTGAATTACATTACAGTTTGTGCATTAAGATGCTCAAAACCTTTATTAAATTTTTCTTTTTTGGTTATTATAGGACTAGAAGTCTTACTCTAGGGCAAAGCTGAGTCTTGCTTTTTGACAAACAAAATTAACTTACAAAGGAAAGCAAAACCTACGGTTTGTAAAGAAACTACTAGTTATTAAAAGACAAAAAAGGAATATCTTAGAATTGATAAAGTTTTTTAACTTACATATATATGCACAGATAAATTGAATTTTTTAAAGAAGTTTTAAATGCGCAAAATTCAAAAAGTATTGAACCCCAAATTTACAGTACTTGAAGTCGACACACAAAACAGCAATACCAGTTTTGTTTTTTCTTAGGGATGAAATATTACGCATAATTTCTAAGATGCTATAATGGCATTGCATTGTTAGTATGCTTGGTAGAAATTTCAGGTCTTTGGGTTATAGTTTGAGAAATATTTCAAAATACATCTTATTTTGGAAATATTTTTCAAATACTCTAGGTGCTGGAAGATCTACAAAAGTGGGTTGTAATAATTAGTTATGGATTGAAGTCCGTTAAAATATTGGATTTCCATAAAATTTTACAAAGCGTATCTTACAAATATTTTTTATGTGAATATAAGTCCTCAAACTCTTGGTCTTGTTACAACTTTACTCAATTGCGAAAAAAATTATTGTTTATTTTGTTCTAGTTTCTAAAATAAATGTTTACCATTCGTATCATCATTATCTTTGCATAATTTTTTGGGAAAATTGTTCCGGAATCCAAATAGGAGGCGTCGAAATATACGGTCGCTTTTAAAATCTGCAATAAAGAAATTTTAATTATTTTACGCCTTATTAATTTACCGACTTTATCGGGAGTGGTAGCACAATTATTAAAATATTTTGTTACCCTGGATGTATCTCACTCTGGAAGACACAATCCCAACATTAATGGTATACAGAAAAAGGAGGGTTAATATTCGATTCTATATGAAAATAGATATTAACAATAAATTAATCGTGGTGTGCAGTGGCCTAGTGAAATAGCTGATAAAGAATAATTAAGCACACAATCATGGTTCGACCTTCTAATTAAGACTTTATCAAAACTATTATACGATCTTAAGTATCTAAAAGTTGTGACTTCCGTACACTTTTGAGTGTCCCAATACGTAAATTTATTTTCCTCAAAGGAAAAGATGCTTTTGGATAGATGATCTTATTATTCCTTTTTTGTGGTTGATCTCATGATAAACGAAGTAAATTAACTTTAATGAACAAAAAAACTATTTATAACTTACCATTTTTGATATAAGTCTTGGGAGTGCTTAGATGTCTTAAGAAACTTCTTGACCTAAAAAAATTAAACTTTTAACGTTAATTTAACAAACACTAACAAAAAGTTAATCAAAACATATTTTGTTCTTTCAAATTCAGATAAAATTGAAATTGTTAAATATCTACGCTTACACTTACGCTTTCAGAATTGCGCTTGCAAAACAATTTAGGCTTAAGAATTTTGTTAAGTCAGTATATAAAAAATAAAAGTTAAGATATGCTTGGTAATCAGAGCATAAAGAGTAAAATATGCATAACTTTCGAGAAACAAGGGCAAATTTTTTAATGGTGTATAATAGAGAAGTTTTATATGTTTCGAGATTAAAAAATTATGAGGGAAAAATTAGGCACTCAAACGTATCCTTTTAATACATTCGAAGGATTTAATAATTTGAAACGAAACAAAGATCTTTGCTAATTAAAAGTTCTCTAGAGTGTATCTAACTGTCGTGGGTCGTGTGTCGCGGGTAAATATTTCTGGGTTGTGGGTATGTTGTAGCAAGTTAATAAAAATTCTATTTTGCATAAAAAATATAGAAAAGTTCCAAAGAAGTTGATATTAATGTCTCGAGAAGATTTTATTTCAATGCATGCACACTTTGATGTGCTGCTGAAGTTAACACTCTGCTGTCAATACTGAAATATGTCACTGGCGCTCTGGATATTCATGAGTTGCGTTTGTTATACATATCGAAATATACATGAAGTCATTTTAAAGTAGTTCACATGGTTGAAATCATGGTAAGTTCTACACTTATCATCAGTCAATAATTCAACAATTACTCGTATGCAACTATATATGTTGTAAATTTGACACTCAGAATGTAAGACATGGTTTACTTATATGCATAACTTTCTCACGGTTATAAATTTGTTTTTCTCTAGAACGAACTGTTCATTACCATTAAAACAGTCGTATCCAATTAAATTTTGAATGGTTAATGATGCTTGGTTACCTTGATATTAATGAAAAACAAAATATTTTTTTGATAATGATAAGTGTATAACTTATATAATAAATATCAAATTTGGATTCATAAAACTAACACATTGCCAATTAATCATGACTTTGCACAACGCTGATGAGATATTTCTCTTGACAACAGTGATTGTGCATCTTAATGTACTGGCATAAATGTACTTATTAATGACCAGACATAACAAATATCAACCATTAATTCAAGATTTATTTGGATACAACTCATGTAATGGTTTCGAAACATATCACTGCTAAGTAAAAGGAACTTACCAGTCGTACACATGGGAAAGTGGAAGCCGGTTTTACTTGTGATAAACTAATAGCTTATGGTCTAATCGAAATGTGTTTGCAACGTGAAGTGTATGTACGGAATTATAAACAGCAGCGTCTGATTATAGAATTATAAACAGGGTTTATCATAAGTACATATAACTTACACTTTCCTCTGCCTTAAAACTATAAGTGACCATTTCCAATGCATGCAGGTTTTTACATTTGTGAATGCTTTTCAATATATTCCGAGTGTCAAGTAAACAACATATCTAGTTGTATACGAGTAATTCCTTGAATTGTTGACAGTTGGTAAGTATAGATACATTAAAAACGTACTTTAAATCCAACACATGTATATTTTGGATTGTTATAACAAACACAAATCATAATATTCAATGTAGCGGTGACATATTATAATATTGACAGCAGAGAACGTTAAAGTGGGCGTATATAGAAATAAAGAATTCCAGAGAAGTCAACATAAACTTTTTTCAAATTTTTCCATGCACAAAAAATTTTTTAATTCCGGGACATTCCCGCGACAGGAAATTTTTACCGCGACCCGCGATCTGGGACAGTTAGATACACTATGTTCTAAGCAGACATTATGATCTTAAAATATATGAGTAACCAGTTATTTCCGTAACATGAAAAAGAGCGTAGGAGTATTTACAAACATATATAAGCGTACCGTGTTTGAAATGGTAAATATCGACTTAACTTGAGTATTTTATCAAAGAACGGTTAACACAGAAATAATAATAAAATCCCAACAAATTGTAGTAGACAAATCAATCTATTATTTACCTTATTTATTCACTTATGTTTTAAAGTTAATTTATTACATGTACTACCGTTAGCATAAGGGAGGGCATAATAAAGGGAGGGCGTAAGAAAGAGAGAGAGTTATAAAACGGTTAAGTTGTGCGCAAACATAGATGTTGCAGTGGCGTGCGGTGACCGAATTTAATAGGCAAGCGCTGACAGTGATTCCACAATGCATTCAGTCATGTTGTACAGGTGTCGTGAAAATACCGATTGTAGAAGTAGAACATAAAAGGATGAAAATTCCTATGCTATATATTTTATAGGAACATCAATCTTATTTATGCCTTACATCAGTTACATGATATCTACCGGATACAAATATCAAAACTACTACGCAAAAGGAAGCTCTTGTCAATATCATAATCTTGTATTACATTCTACAGATAATATCTTCTACATACATAAATTGCAAGACAATAGGCGCGAAATGTATTGTAGCAGTCGTGATTATAACAATTAAGAACAGCCAGTTTCGCGCACAAAATTGGCACGGTGTGTTACATGGCGTTGTTTAATGTTTATATTTTGGTATAATGACGTCATGGCAACGTGTTCTCCCGTTCTTCAAAATGTGTCTGGCACTGACTCGTACGTTTCAGAATATCGGAGAGTCGTGTTTATTATTTAGTATCTTGTACCTTTTATTTTTAGTCATTAATTTACGAATTCCACGACACAAGACTGACAAGAGCAGAGTGCTTTGGTCATAATGCTAGTCATACTTTACCACAACACACGTTTGCGTGCATTTCGATATCTCTGCAGACTGCGGCCCCTGCTTGTTTACATTGTGCGCAGAAAATAATAAAATAACCAGTAAAGCACCTACTACTTTGAATTAGAAATCAGAACATTACCTTTCGCTCTCAGTCATCTTTTAATAAACGATAACATTAACGGCGTGAATAATTCGGATGTCCAATGTGTTGAATATACGAATATTATTCGTGCGCTGATATGTGTTTAAAATTGCGAGCATACAAGACTGTTGACCAATCGCTATCAAGCGGCGCCCTTAGAAGCGCCGCTTGCCTTTTCTCGATATTCCTCGAATAAGAAGCCTCCAAATCTAGATTAACGCATGCGCAAATGTTCAAATTGAGCTCCGAAGGCAAGCGCGCTTGCCTTGGTTAATAAATATTCGGTGTATTTAATCCACTTGACTCATCTTACAAGTGTAGCAAAGTGAAACCGAAAACCACGACAGTAAATCGCGTATAAATAGCAAGCATTTCAACTGTAAAGACAATTTAGACAAAAGATTACATTGACATTGTTTAGAACAGAAAAATTTAAGCTGATTTTGCTCAGAGATTGATCCAAAAAATTTTTGTTCGGTAAAATGCTTAGGCAAGCGGCGCTTGCCTACGCTTGCATGACCGCACGCCACTGAGATGTTGGAACATATTTTATAAGTTCATAAGTTCAAAATTTTCGAGACGGAAAATATTGTACTTTGAATTTAAAATGAGACGCAATAAACTCCAAAATATAAATAATTTAGGCGTGGGTGGTGGTTGTATTATGATTACATTTCCTTCTAGGTTAGGTTCTATTGAAATGATTGTGATTAAGATTGTGACGCATGAGCGTATGAATACATACCCCTCTCCCTCACCAATAGTCAATCTTCAGCGTTCTTGATTCTATGTTGTCAAATACAAACGCTTAGTTGTTAGTAAATTTACTAATGTTGTGTTATAGTTTTATTAATTCATCTTCATGACCTGCAGTATTTCTCTACAACATTTCTAGTTTTGATTCTTACAATGATCACTGGACATAGCTTTTTAATTAAGAGATCTATTTTCTACATATTGATTTACTGTGCTTTAAAATGAACAGTTCAAAAGTTGAGTAATAAGAAAGTGCAACTTAAATGGTTAATAGTTTTTGAATTGCAATCAACCATAACGAAATTATCAATAATGTGGCTTGCTCTCGACGGCGGTCAATTTCAGCCGTGCGAAGCAATTTTAGAAGATGAATACTTAAATTACAAGTTTACAACAAAGTACGAACAAAGGTATTCATATCTTCAACATTTTCATCGATATTGAAGTTGTTCACTTAGGAACTGGTTGAAAACTTTGCTTCGCTAAATGACAACAGAGGTACTTTAATTCGCATGTTTTGATGATGTACATATTGTAGAGTTTGATGATACCGTTTTCAACTTACTATTGTTCATCAAAATGTATTTCTGATTATTTTCCTATGTCGATTTGTTTTATTTCTTCACTGATATAATAAAGACGTAATATGAAATTATTATGATATTAGTGATGTAAATAAGAAAGATTTGTTAAATAAGTAAATTTGTAGCAATCTTCCATAAACGTCATTGCAGATGAAATTTTGGTAACAGTAGTAGGATTTTGTAATATTTCTACATTTTTTAAGAAGCAGCAGCATAATCTCCAGTTTGTTTCAAAACAATGAAAGTCGACCTTGTACCATCTCAATTTTGTGTCATTATAAAGCCAAGAAGACAAACTTTTTAGGGTTAAGTATCTTTGCCGGTTGTTCTGTTCCTTTCACAAAAATTTTGCTCGAATCAAAAGTTTGTAGAACGAATAAATTGCAAGAACTGTGATTTTGTAATACAAAATTATAGTAAAGTGGGATGGATACCCCGAAGGTCATGATTAGATGAGCCAACTTCGGCTCAATTATCTTACTCTATTTTATACATGGATGCGTTATCCAGTGTAATATACATATGTCATCCAGTGAGCAGAGTAGAAATAAAACTTGTTAATCCAATTGCGTATAAGCACTAATTTTTGGCTGTGATTTATAAATATTTAAGTACTCTGTGAAGTTTTAGGGAAAGAATAATGCTAATGAACTAAAATTTAAATAGATTGATAAAACATGCGACCTGGCTACGCCAGTTGCTTTCATTTCTAAATATGATGTATTACTAATGTCAAACAAATAAATGACAATAAATGGACGATATTAAGAGAAAAAATTTTTCTTTAACTGTTTTTCTTGCATATAATACTCGATCTAAGCACTATTTATATATATTTTTTTAATTCAACATCCGCTTCTTTCACGTTTCTTGTTTGTATTTTTCTATTTAACACTAAAGATTATATTCTTTACATTTGAAGTGCAATCCAGTGATTAGAAACTTTCAAGCCAACTATATGTTTGTAATAATATCAACACTTTTATTTCATGCAGTCACACAAACGAGCGTCGATGAGAACTTAAGTGTTGATATATTCAAGTGGGATATTGGCTATTTTAGTGACATATTACAAGGGTACGATTTAAAAGGACAATATAGAAAAGTGGATAAAATACAACCAGGATTTTATGTTAGAGATAAACTTACCTCAAGCTCTGTGTCTTCTTAAAGTAATAAACAAAATATGTTCACGATTCTTACTCTTTGGGTAGCAGTTACGAATGGGGAAAATGTAAATTTGCACCACTTAATATTTACAATTTGCCCATGTGCAGGAAAGACCACCAACTTTTGGGCATTGTCAATGCATAAAGATCGTTTATTCTTTGCAGAACTCCACGCATTACAATGCAAAAATCACAATATCGGTTGCTGGAATACGCACAATAAGTGTTTTGGAGGACAAACAAAACACGCAATTCCGGCTTTTATAGTTGGCGTCATTAGCTGTTTCATCCGTTGACGGGCGAAGTTAATCCTGGAAAATTGTAGGAACCAGGTTTCAGTTAGATCGAGTTTTTGATATATTTTGATACAATGTATTAAATTGAGGGGATGAATATTGTAGCTAACAGTTTAACATGAACGTCATTCGATACGTCTAATGACAAGGAACATGTGCATGTAAATCAACTAATTTACATTTTAATAGTTTTTTGCAAGTCAAAAACATAGAGGTCAATGAAAGAAAGATACGACAAAAACTAACAGTTATTACCATAACACTTAAACCACACTCAAGGTGATGAGGACGTTTTTCATATGACGCACGTCAACATAAATTGTAGCGTCCTAATTTCTTTACAAACGTTGTTGTTACGCTGCTATGAATTTTTTTAAATATAATCATTAATAAAAGAAATTTACGACACAAACTAATGGACTATGACTATAACAATAAACCCTGTTTACACTAAATATCTGAAAACAATAAGAATACAAAAAAGAACATAACAGAAACATAAAGAGTACAGAAACTTTAACAAAAACAACAAAACAGTCCACTGACTATAAGAAAGATAACATATAAGGCTACGCGTACACCCGGGAGTGTGAAATTTTAAATTTTTCACCTTCACATTATGTTTTTGGAACAGGAATCTCAAATCTTACTTTACCAACTGGTGGCTCAGCATATGCTATGTTCAGATATTTTAGAATTATCTTTCCGTTTATTTTGGCATTTTCTGTTTTTCTTCGGATTTTGGCGTCTTTCGTCTCAGCAACTACTGCATCAGTAAAAGATTTGAAAAAAAACAATAAATTTAAATTAAAAATCAATATTTTTTTGAAACTCTACACTCATTTAATTTAAGTGTGCGATAAAAAACAGTACATATACCTTTTTGTCAATTGCCACATTAAAATTACGTCAGCTACTAATGATTATCAATGTTTTGTAGATAGCCAAAGACTGAGATTTGAATCATTCTTGATATCATGATCATGCGAAAGGCAAATTCAATAATTATATCACTGTACAGCAAGACGCCTACTAGTCGCTCACTCGGGCTACCTAGCCTACACTAGAACAGTGTTTTCATATTTACGTATTATATTAAGAACATTTGCGTATTATATGTGGCATAATTATGTAAATAAGATCAAGAAATATTTGGATTGGTTCAAGGACTTTCTGTCATTTGCATACAATTTATTTAATCTCGCGACAGTACAGAAAAATCTAATTTCTGAAGTCGGCTTATCTTCGGTATTACTTTGCAACAACATTAAAAATAATTAAACATTAAGCAACATTGTAAAATAGTTAAATATTAAATAATGTAAAATATTACAAATAATTCAAACCCATGATCCATAACCAAATGGTTAAATGTAAAAGAAATATTTTATTTCAAAGAATATTCATACGGCATATCTTGCCAACATTTTTTTTTTTTTTGAGTGAGCTATGTCGTCAACTGTCGGTCTTTCTACGGCCTTACTCAACTGCAGACAAATTCTTTTTTTATGCTTAAGTTTTAATATATATACGTACCGTTCTTATAATGATCTTCGCATTTTTCCTTAGGCCTTTTGACCTTAAAGTTGCTCTTCCTACTGCCTTACATAAATGTGAACAAATTCTTTGTTTTTCTGCTTTTGTTCTTAATATGTATGCGCATCGTTTGATATTTATATTCGTGTTTTTCTTCAGGCGTTTCGATCTTGAATCCTAATAGGAAGCGTCAAAATATCGAGTCACCTTCAAAATCTATAATAAAAAATTGTGAAATTTGCCATCCATTTTAATTTTATCGGGTTGTAAGGACTTATACGGACGCGCATTAAAAGTGCCGCAAATGTCCAAGCGATAATAAAGCTTCTGTCAGTCAAGTCAACAACACCTACTCGTGGTGCAGCCTGTGTTTGTCTAACGGGGCTCGGCGAGGTGCGAGTTTCCGGCGCCCTTAAATTAACTGGAACCCACTGCCTTGCGGTTAGGGTTTGACTGCCCAAAGGCTAAGGCTGAGGTAACCCTGACAGAAACCTCGGGAGGACAAACCGCAGTCACGACAGGCCAGGCCCACCGTGTGGACACGCCCTGCGGTCTGACAAGGTTTGCCCAGCTATGGATTAAATAGTCCCCAGCTATGGGTAAATGGTTTTCGGCGTAACGGGAAAAACGCCAGCAAAGGGCGCTCACGGATTAACTGTGTCGACGGCCTCTCCCTGCAACCGCGTAGTTTCACAGTCGTCGCGATCATTTGTGCCACTGAAGATGGAACCGCGTGGCCAAGCCAATAAACATGGCCTGCACAACCATGCTCTTCTCACTGTGCATGCAGTCTGCAATCAAAAGTCCATCAAAAGTCCATCAATACGGATGACTCATGACGGGGGCAGGCTTAGTAGGCTGGCAGCCTCTAGTGCGAAATTCGATTGCTGGCGGCTTGGATTCTAACAATCGCTGGATAGAATCAGAGATAATATCCTTCGGTATTTCACCAAGCGATGAGGATGCCCTTTTTAGGGATGCGCACCCTCCCCCAATCCGGGGAAGCTCCTAGAAAAGATGGAGTAAAACGCACTCTCATCACTCGCCTGCTCAGCACACCGCGGCAGGGGGGTACTCACTCAAAGCGGTCGAAATTACAATGAAATTCGAAAACTTACGGCCTGAACGTAAGAACCCTAAATGACAATCCAGGAAACATTCGTCCTGAGCGTTCTACCGCTCTTGTAGCCCGTGAGCTACATCGTTATAATATTGACGTTGCTGCTCTAAGCGAGACAAGACTCCACACAATTCGGGATCACTCACAGAGGCAGCGGGCAGATACACTTTCTACTGGAAAGGCAAACATTCTTCAGAGAAACACGAATCAGGAGTTGGCTTTGCTATCAAGTCCTCCATCCGATTATCTGAGCTTCCAGTTGGACATTCGGACCGCATCATGTCATTTCGTTTGCTGTTGAATAAGCAACGTTCGCTCCATCTCATCAGCGTGTATGCTCCTACTATGCAGCATTCTGACATCATGAAAGATGCATTTTGTGAAGATTTGTCAGCCATCATTCGCACTATTCCAGCCCACGACAAATGTATCGTCCTTGGCGATTTCAACGCTAGAGTTGCCAATGATTTTCACACCTGGCCATCCGTTCTCGGTCACCATGGCATCGGCAATGTAAATAGCAATGGTAATCTTCTCTTGACAATGTGCGCTGAAAACAACCTGACCATCACCAACTCGTACTTCCAACTACCAAACAGATTAACGACAACATGGAAGCACGCTCGCTCTGGTCACTGGCACCTAATTGACTACATAATTACAAAGTCAAAAGACATATCAGACTTCCATGTCACTAGAGTCATGCGAGGTGCTGATTGTGGGACGGAACATAGACTTGTAATTTCAAAGGTGTGTCTCAAGATCAGCAAACCTGCACTCAGAAAAGCTCAGAAAATTCCGAAGAAATTCTGCGTCTCGAAACTCAAATCAGAAGAAGTCGCAACATCCCTCAGAACCTGCATCGACGAACAGCTACAGAATATCGCTGCTCCAGAGTGGGATAGTCTGAAGACAGTTCTTCTTAACTCAGCTGAGACTGTCCATGGCTACAAAAAGCATTCTCATAAGGAATGGTTTCATGAGAATGACGTAGAAATTTCCGAACTAATGAAATCAAGAATGAATGAAATTGGTGACAGACTAAAGGAAATAAAGAAGACCATAGCGAACAGACTCCAAGTTATGAAAGACAAATGGTGGCAAGAGCGCGCAGAAGAGACCCAAAGATATGCTGACATTGGAAGTGCGAAAGAATTGTTTCGGTCGCTGAACGACATTTACGGGCCAAAAAAGAGCTCCGTTTCCCGCTGCTCAACTCGGACGGTACCAAGCTCCTTACGACATCCGACGACATCCGAGAACGGTGGACTGAGCACTTCACACAGCTTCTAAGCGAGACCAGCATCTATGATGAGGATATCATCAACAACCTCCCTCAACGACCTAAGATTGACACTCTTGGTGATGTTCCCACTCTCGAAGAAGTTGAAAATGCCATCAAACATATCAAGTGCAACAAAAGTGCGGGCCCTGATGGAATTCCACCAGAATTATTTGTGTGCGGGGGACCCTTGGTTGCAAAACATCTGCATGGCATAACTGAAAAGATCTGGTCCGATGAGACCATTCCTGCTGAACTCCGTGATGCAAACATTATCACCATCTTCAAGAAGAATGACCGCCATAACCCCAACAATTATCGAGGCATCAGTCTGTTGGCTGTAGCCCGGAAAATAATCGCTCTAATGTTGCTAAACAGAATGCGCGATCCTATTTCCGAAGCAGTACTGCCAGAAACCCAGTTTGGATTCCGCCGAAATTGTGGAACGACTGATATGATATTCGCCCTTCGACAGCTCATGGAGAAATCGAGAGAACAGAACCAAAAGCTATACATGACTTTTGTTGACTTTACGAAAGCGTTTGATCTTGTGAACCCTGAGGCACTGTGGACTATGGTCGCAAAAATGGGCTGCCCACCAAAATTTGTCAATATCTTAAAGTTATTACATATCAACATGTGCGTCAAGATCTCGGTAGGCGTCGAGTTGACTCATGACATTCAATACAACAATGGAGTGAAGCAAGGTTGTATACTTGCTCCACCCTCTTCTCCCTCTTTGCGACTGCTCTCTTCACATATGCCTTTGAAAACATACCTGAAGAAGGCATATACATACGATCCAGGATAAATGGCTCGCTCTACAACCTTCGTCGTCTCC